TCCCACAGTGACCTCACCCCATCCTTGGCTTCAACTATCCCCTATGTGCAGAGGGTCTCACCATCCACATCTCTAGCCAAAATCTCTCCCCAGAGCTTTGGACACATTTCACGATTGATAGGGAGTAACACATTTAACTCTGTTGTTGTTAAGTGTTGTTGACTCATAGAGACTCTGTATATAGCTTCCAAGGAGCAGCTGGTGGGTTTGAACAGCCAACTTTGTGGTTAGCAGTCCAGTGCTTATCTTACAGCACCACACCAGGACCGCTAACCCTAAGAGTATTAAAAACCAGCTGTCGTAAAGTCAATTTCAACTCATGGTGACCCCCTGTGAGTCAGAGTAGAAATGCTCTGTAGGGTTTTCAATGGCTGATTTTTTCAGAAGTAGTTCACTTTCTGCTGAGGCTCCTCTGGGTGTACTTGAACCTCAAACCTTTGGGTTCACAGCTTGGGTATGTTAACTGTTTGCACCACCCAGGGACTCCAAAGAGCATTAGGTAGATTTAATACATTCAGGCATGTGGATTTCCAAGTATGATGGCTGGCATAGTACATGCTTACTAAATGATAGCTATTATTATTGGATTAGAGTCTTGGTGTGGCACTGTAGGATAAGAACTGGACTGCTAACAACAAGGTCGTTGGTTGAAACTTACCAGCCTCTCCTTAGAAACCCTATACAGGGTCGCTAAGAATTAGAACTGACTCAACAGCACTTAACAATATTATTATTATTTGCAATCTGAATCTCAGATCCATTTTAATAAGTAGAAGCACTAATTTGAAAGAGCAGATAAAACCCTCGTCTAAGAATTAAAGTTAAAGAGCTCTGGTAGCGTAGTGGTTATGAATCAGGCTGCGAACCGCAAAGTCAGCAGTTTGAAACTACCAGTTGTTCCGTGGGAGAAAGATGAGTCTTTCTGCTCCCGTAAAGATTTACAGCCTCGGAAACCCTGTACAGGGTCGCTATGAGTCGGAACCGACTCCACGGCACACAACAACAACAAGAATTAAAGTTGGGGTTGGGACTGAAGTTCTTTCCTTAACCTCTAGGGTTCATGGGTTGGAAACTCCACACCAATCACTGCATGCCAGCCACTCTAGGAAACCAGTTCCTAAACTCTATCTCCAAGTCCCCTAATTAATTAATTAGTGTTCCAGTGAATACTCCTGTTGACAATCTTGGTGGCTTTTGGCAAGGTCGGGTCGGCCCCAGCAAGCCCAGACTTATTGTGGCAAATCCCACTGGCTTCTGGGAGGTGAGACATGATCCCTATACAGCAGAAGCAGCACCTTGTTAGAGAGAATTAATTGGGAGGATAAATGGGGGAACGAGGTCCTCTTAGCCAACTGGCTGATGGCATTGGTACCATTGGTCACAGATAGGCCTCAAAATACCCCATAAAGACCCGGTTGGCCAGCATCCTGTCAGGATTGATGTAGCTTGAGCAGCGGGCTCTGAAAATCTTACTCCTAGTCTCCTGTCCAAGCTGACTCTACTCTTTCCAATACTAGAGAAAGAGGGTTGTAATAAGAGGGAGTTTGGTTAGATACCCAGAAGAAGTAGCTTCCATGCCTACTTAAGGCAGACATGTGAGGTGGGTCTGATCACTTCAAACCATCTCTGAAGCAGAGCTGGAGGTATGGGAGGACAAATGACTATCTCTCCATTATTTGCCCCAAAGGAACATACACATAAGAAGAATAGTCCTATGACAGGACTGTCTCAAGTTTCCTCCGCTCTCTGCTGTCCAGGGTGGGCAAGGTGGAGAGAAAATGGACCTAGCAAAACCAAATGCTCTATTTCCTAAGACTTCAGGTCTGTCAGTTTGTATATCTATGGTTTCCTCCCAGGTCAACACTGGCTCTGTGACCTTGGGCTGGTCCCAGGCCTGCTCTGGGCCTCCATTTCCTCATTGGAGTCAGGAGGGGGTTAGCTGGATGGTCCCTGACGCTGAGACATGGGGTTTCCTCTGCTGTGAGTCCCCTCTCCTATAAAGGCAGACCAGGTAGCTTCTGAGCACAATGGTGCCCACACGCACAGTCAGTGGCTCTGACCCTGGCTTAGAACCGAGGGTTCAGCCTGATCGCACAGAGAATCAGGGGCTGCAGGAAGTACAAAGTACAGCCTTTGGGAGTGGGGAGCCCAAGACCACAGAGAACTTGACCATCCTCAAAAGTGTAGGTCACCTGGAACCCTTGGTACTATGTGGAGCTCCCAGGCTGCACTGGGTCATTTTTGTTCATCTTTCTTCAGGGGGATGGGAGCCCTGGGTCTATGCCAAGGCTAGGCCCTTTGGGTACAATGCTGTCGGGAGTGTGCCAGGTTTCCTGTCCCTGTATTACTTGGCTGCCAAGACATGAGTTCCACCTCTGTCACAGTCTCCTCTTTGAACTCTAAGGCTATGTGTTGTTGTTAAGTGCTATGAAGTCTTTTCCTACTGATAGTGACCCTGTATAGGATTTCCGAGGAATGGCTGGTGAGTTTGAACAGCCAACAGTGTGATTCAAACTGATCTTCCAGTTCAGTGCTTATCCTGACTAAGTAAGGGACTCCTTAAGGTGGGAGCTGAGTCATACCTCTCAGTCTGAGCCTCACTCCCCAGGCTGGACCCCTTCTTTTCACCTTCTACTTCTCTTGGAGTCCACAGGTGGTGCAAATGATTAACGTGCTCAGATGGTAACCAAAAGGTTGGCGGCTTGAGTCCAACCAGAGGTGCTTTGGAAGAACGGTCTGATAATTTACTTCCAAAGAAATCAACTGTTGAAAATTCTTTGGAGCACAGTTCTACTCTGACACACACTAGGAGTTGACAACAACTGGTTCGTTGGTTGGCCTACTTTTCAATAACCTTTGCTCTTACTATCACCCCTCTTGAGGACCTACCTGAAGGAGGACCAGGCCTTGTCTTCTATTGTGCTCAACTACTCCAAATACAATAGTCCTCCTTTGACTCCCCTGGCCTAGCCTCTCCATCAAACTCTGCTCCCCCATCTTCATTCCTAATCCAGTTTAGATTCCCCAGCCTGAGTGAGTCCAGCACCCCCTTCTCTGAGCTGGACCCTGGCCCACCCCTCTCCTCAGACCAGTGTCCTTTCCACCCTCAGCAATCACCTGCTATCCCCTCGCATCATTTACCAGGCTTCCCTGGTGAATCATATCTCATTCTCATGTTACAAATCTTGTCTGTCATCCTCAGACTTCTGATGCCCACCTTTCCCAGCTTCCTCTCTGTTCAGTCAGAGAGAATGGAGAAGACATCAGCACACTGTCCTTAACTTCCCCAGATCCAAACTGTACGTGCTTTCCCCCTCTCTTCCTGTGAAAGTGGGGAGGGGGTTTTCCCCTGCCAAAGCCCACCCAATCACCTGTGCTCTGGTTTCCAATCTTCTTTACAGATTCTCCCTGTTACCCCTCCCAATGTCCTCAACCTCTCTCCTGGCAAAGTTTCCCTTTGGTTCAGTATTTTCCCTTGAAAAAAGGAAACAGAACAAAACAAAGAAATTTTCCCTTGATCCACACATCTCATTCCAGCAGCTAGCCTGTTTCTGTTCTCCCTCTGTGCCAGCCTTCATGACTAGATTGTTGGTCCTACCGGGCCCCATTTCCTCACCCACCTGCTGGGGCCTCCCTTAGTAACTGGAAGTGCCTTAATAACCCAAGGTCACAGTGGACATTTTTCAGGCCTCAAAAAACTTGACCTCTCACAGTACCTGACCCTGTGGACTACCCATCAACCCTGTAGCCCTGACCATACCTCCTCAGACCCTGCCTGGGCTCTTCTCTCTACACTCCCCGGCTGACCCCATGCACTACCCTGGCTTCTGTGACTGTTTTAACGCTGCTGGCCTTCACTTTGCCCACCCCCACTCCCTTCCCTACAGCTCTGGCCTCCACTTGGCTCCACCCCTGCAGCCCAGACCACTCTCTTAGCCTGACCGCCTGCCAGGATGCCTCTCCTAGGATGTGCTATGGGCACCTCAAGATCACATGTAACTCAGCATTCTGTCCCTCCTCCAGTGTCTCCATCTTTTTAAGGAGTGCCTACATCTGCCTGGCTGTTCCAAATCAGAAAGCTGGAGCTCTCCTGCCAGTTCCCTGCCTACCCCACCACATTCAGTTCTTCACAAAATCCCAAATCCGGATACAGCTGCCTCTGAACCCTCAAACAGGCCCACTTCTCTCAATGCCCACTGCCAACAACCTGGTCCAAGCTGCCACCATCTCTTACTGGATGCCTGCCACAGTCTCTGGATGGATCATTCTCCTCCAGAGCTCCAGCACAGCCTCTTCCCTACAGCCACGAGGACCCCTCAAGATCAGAAATCAGTGGTCTTGCTTCCCACAGCCCTATGATGGCCGTGACCCTCCTTACTTCGGCTTCCAAGATCCCAAGTCCCACCTGCTGGCCCACCTCATCTTGTTCTTCTCCTTAATGTACTGCAGACTCTGGTAATTTCTTGGCACATGCTGTGTGCCGCTGGTTCACTGCAGACCTCTTACACCAGTTGACCCTGGCCGATGTGTCTTCCCCAGCCCCCTTTCATGTGGACAACTCCATCCCATCCTCCAGGCCCCAGATTAACTGCTGCTCCCCTCTAGACTGTGTTTGGTTTCCGCTGAACTTCTCCCATCTTTACAGCCCTCACCCTCCATTTGCTATTCCACAGTTTATCATTTGCTGACTACGGGACCCTCAACTTGAAGAGCTCAGCGCCTGGGCTGTCTCATTCATGACTATAAACCCCGTGTCTAGCACAGTGCAAGGCAGTCAATGCTGGAAAGTATTTGTTAATAAAAGACCTTGTGGTGCAAACAATTAATGTGCTCAGCTGTGAATGAAAGGTTGAATATTTGAGCCATTGGAAACCTCATGGAGGACAGTGCTACTCTGACATATATGGGGCAGGTTGCCATGAGCCAGAGTCCACTCAATGTTAGACCTCCCAGGGCCCCTCTCTGTCCTGCTCCTGACCCCGCCCCACCAACCCACTGACCTCTGACATCTGCGGGAAGAGGCTGATGGCTAATGGCAGGGCCAGGCCAAAGGCTGCCAGGCACACGAGGCTTTGCACAGGGAGGAGCAGCCGGGGGCGCGCCTGCAGTAGAGCGGTCCTGTAAGGAGAGAAGGAGGGGCCTGTGAAACCCGGAGATGGAGTGGGCTGGCCACTCAGTCTCAGAGCTAAGGCAGCATGGGCCTGAGGCCACTGCCAGCCTGGACCTAAGTAGCAGTGGCAAAATTTATATTTGGGGGCTTCCTCAATCGGCACCCTCTCCCCAGCCCTTCTCAAAGAGTTCAAATCATTGAAGAGGACTGGGGGCATCCACCCAGCCACCATGGGTCCATCCTGTGCCAGGAGGAGCCCACAGATAAGACTGCTGCCCCAGCTTCTGAGGAGATACACAGGAGAGCAAGAGAGCCCTCAAAGGCAGTCCATGAAATCGCAAACACACCAGAGTAGATGCCAAGTCCAGGAGAGGAGATAAAGCACACAGGCACATATGCACAGTCTGGAAGGAAGGTTCTCTTCCCACTGGTCATCTTGTCAGCCTCATCCAAGAGCCACAGAGAGGGGCAGTGATTTGCCTAAGACCAGGAGGCAGGTGTGCTGTCACCTGAGCTGTCCCGGCTCCTGCCTTCAGGACCCTTTGGCAGTCTCATCCCAGCATGCTCACAGCTGTCACCCACTCCCCATGGCTTCAAAGGTGGGATTCCTGGGCAGGAGAGGAGGCCTGGGTCCTCCAGCTCTGTGACAAAATGGATTTCCCCAGACAGAGTGAGGGCCACACCAGCTGGCAAAGCCTCCATTATCATGTTGTACATTATAGCTTTCTGTCTGTACAACCCAGCAGGTCCTTTCAAGGGACTCACCAGACACGGCACTTGGGGAGGCCTGGGATGTGCTGTCTGGGTAGATGGCTGGAGAGTTGCCAGGAGATGTTAGGTGTCCATGTGATCTGCTCCTGATATGAAGAGGAGCAGGGCTGGCTGTGGCCACAAGCGAACCCTGAACCATCCTCATCTCCTGGGACACGAATCCCAAGAGCACCTGACCCTGAGCAGGCAGTACAAGGGAGGGCCGCAGTTTTTAAAGCTTTGGTGCACACTGGGGTGATCTGAGCAGCTGATCAAAGATGCAGACTCCCAAGGGCCTTTGGCCACCTGTGAATGTGCATTTTAGACGCCCTCCGTAAGTCTGGTGTGGCACTGTAGGATAAGCACTGGACTGCTAACTCCAAGGTTGGCCACTCCTCAAAAGCCTTATACAGGGTCACTATGAGTCAGAAGCAACTCCACGGCACTTAACAACAACATAAATCTAAGACAGGTGATTCCAAGATCTCTCTTGAGAAACCTGATCCAGAATGTTCCTGTTAAGGAATCAATGAAGATCCAGTAACTTGTAAATTAACAAGTAGAAAGGTTAGCATAGGCCTGGCACATAATAAACTCAGAAAACAACACAAAACTAACCTGTTGCTGTCAAGTTGATTCTGACTCAGCGTCCTAGAGGACAGAGGACAGTCGCCCCACGGGCCCCGTGTTGTACTCCTCACTCCTGGTTGTTGTTGTTATGTGCCATCGAGTCGGTTCCGACCCATAGCAACCCTGTATAGGGTTTCCGAGGCTGTAAATCTTTACGGGAGTAGAAAGCCTCATCTTTCTCCCGCGGAGCAGCTGGTAGTTTCGAACCGCTAACCTTAAGGTTCGCAGCCCGATTCGTAACCACTACGCTACCAGAGCTCCTTCCTCACTCCTGGTAGTGCTCAGAAATTGTGTTCTTATTACTGTTGTCATTGCCTCTGTTCTGTGGGGGCAGGAGGGAGGATCCTGGGGACTAGACTCCTCTCCTCTAGCCCTCCCCTCTGGCCCAGATCCCAAGATCTGTCCAGCTGCTGAATAAAACCGACCATTGGAAAGGGGAATTTCCACAGGCTCAAGAGCAGCTCAGACCCATCTTGAATCCCAACCCTCGCCTAGGTCTGGTAGCACCTTTTCCTCTCCTCCATTCCTTTCTACTACCTATGGACCCAGCCCAAGTCCTCCAGGGCCTCCACAGCAGGTCAGGGGTGGGGAGTGGGGCAGGAGTAAGGCTGAATTGAACTTTGAGACCATTTTCAATTCTGACCCGCTTCTTAAGCAGATCAACAAGGCTCATTCTCCAAGGCAGCACCCAGGGAGCTCTGGTTCTCAGGAGGCAGTGGGAAGCTAGGCTACCTCCTGGCCCAGAAGCAGGGGCCCAGGGCAGGAAGGGAAAAGGGTATGAAGTCTCAGGAGATACAGCTCTGATGGTCACTGATGGCAGGGTGACAGGGAGAGTCTCAAGTTCCATTCCAGTCAGGTGAGGGCAGGTGTGGTTCAGTCCTTGGGGCCTTGTGGTGTGGCATTGTGGCCTTAGTTCCTGAGGGTGGGAGTGGGAAGACTAAATTCCCTACTGGGAAGGGGGCTGTTCTCCCAGCTCTGAAGTCCCAGCCCAGATCGGGGCGGGAGTGAACACAGGGGGAGGGGAGGAGAAGGAAATGGCAGGGAGGGATAGGAAAGGCAGCTGGGGAAGTTAAAATATGCAGATGGAAGGATGTGAGAATGCTTGGGAGAAAGGAAAGACCCGGATGCTAGGATGCTAGGGGATGTGGTGGATGGGGGAGCGGCCTCAGGAACCCACCACAGAGGGTGTGTTGTCCCACCCACCTCCCTGGCTTGCCCTGTGCTGTCCAAAGCATAGAGGCCAGCATGGTGCAGAGACACAGGGCTGGGGGGTAAACTGAGGCCCCCCTGCCTCCAAGTTAGAGGGATCAGGTTAGGTGGGCGTGTGGGCACTGATCTAGGGTCTTGCTCTGTCTCCCAGACTTAAGCCTACAACCTGCTTCCCTCCCAGCTCCATGGATGAACGTGCTGGCGGGAGGATGTGTGTGAAGTGTGGAGTGTGGGTGCCAAGCAGCCCGCAGGGAAGGGTTGAGAGCGGAAGGCCTATCACATCTGTGAGTGTGCGCTGGAGGGGATGTGCATCCCTTCAAGGGGCGGGGGCAGTGCTCTGGGCTGGGGGTGGAAGCTCCTTCACATCTGACTGCGAACTTCAAGAGTCTCACTGAGATTCTTGGACAACCTTTCTCATCCCAGCAGAAAACTCAGGGACCGCTCACAGAGAGGATAAACAGAGGGCGCCCCAGCCCCTGGCCCTGCCACACAACAGCTTGTCTCCCCCACTGCTGTGTACTCCCTCTGCACTTGGAGTGGAGTTTTAGTTTGCACTCCATTAATTTGCAAGTAGGCTGCTTTGTAACCATTCTTTTGTCTTTTTTTCCCTGGCTGCCCTGACTCCCTCACAACCTGGGCTCCTGAAGAGTGGGGGTTGTCTTCCCCATCAGCATCCTCCTCAGAGGTCTTACCATCAACACTCAGATCTGTACAAGCTGAGGGTTGTTGGGGTTGCTACAAAGAGCAGAGGACCTGCTGAAAGGTGTAAAGTGCAAAGCTTTACAACTAGCCAGGTGATGAGGTTCAGTGAGGCTCTGATACCATGTCTGACTGGCCAGATTTTGTTTTCCTTCCAGAAGTCTCAGCTCGCTCTGCTACATTGTCCTGTGTCTCCAACACAGTTCTAGGGTGGTCACTAGCAGTCCCTGAGAATATGCCAGATAAGTAAGTCTTTGTAGGCATGGATTGGGTCTTCTTCATCCTGGTATTTCTGGAGAGGCTTGGGCTGGACTCTTTCTCTCCTCCACCCCTGCCCCAAGAGACCCTTCCAAGAGTCCCAGGGAAAGACCAATCAAACACAATGCTGCCAGGAGAACCACAGGTTACACTCTCTCCCCTACCCAAGGGGCTTCTTTGGACCCTGAGTTGAGCCACACCACAAGGCACCCTTTATTCCAGGCAGATCACAGGCTCAGGAATGTCAAACCCAGAACAATCCCATCCTACTTCCTGTGGCCCCCAAATCCCAAATTTAAACCTCCAAACCTGTGGACATGAACCATCATGCCTTGTTCTGCAAACCCAACTCAGATGCCAACCAGGAAGCCATCACTGACCACATGGCTCCCAGCAAACTCCAAGGTCTGCCTGGAAGACAGATGCCCTGCCGTGGTGACCCATCTCCTTCTGTGCAGTCACTGCTATTTGGGGCACAAAGAACCCTCCCAGGTTCTGTTTATTTTTGTCAGTTGTAAACTTTATATGAGATTGACTTTCTAAAACCCCAGTGCTCCACATGCATGCATCTGTTCAAGTACCCCAAGAGGCTCCCCACTCTTCTCGGTAACAATGGGTTCATCTCTCTGCTTGACAGTGAGTTCCTCATCAGTTGGCCCCATACTTCTGGGTTGTTCTCCTCTCTCCATACCCTGTGCACAAAGTCCAGCCTCGGGCCCTCCCTGAGGTAACCCCTAACCCTGTGCCCCCCCTGGCCGTTTACACATTGTCTGATCTCACCCACAGCAGACTGGGTGTGGGTCTTGTTGGCTTCCTTTATCAAAATATAGACTCTTTGAGGTCAGGCCCAAGTCTGCTACTCCTATGTCTCCACACAGGGAGGGTCCAAAGACATGCTGATGATGTGATATGACAATCTGAAGTGACAGCCAGTGTAGTACCAAGAGCCCAACATGGCAGCCAGATAGATTCCTGAGCCATTCCTGGTGCCGCCATCTCCTAGCATATGGCCTTCAGCAGATCACACACCCTCTTTTTGCCTTATCTGTAAAGTGGGAGGTAGTACTTACCTCTTAGCATTGTTGTTAGGGTTAGATGACATCATTAATTCATTCGACAAACACTTCCTGAATATCTACTATGTGCCAGGAATTATGTTAGATGCTGTGCCTGGCAGTAAACAAAAGGAACATAGTTGCCTCTGCAGAGATTACATTGCAGTAGGGCAGATAGTGTAGTGGTTACAAATCGGGCTGCTATCCTCAGAGTCAGCAGTTCCAAACTACCAGCTGTTCCACGGTAGAAAGATGAGGCTTTCTGCTCCCATAAAGATTTATAGCCTCGGAAACCCTGTACAGGGCCGCTATGAATCGGAACCGACTCCACGGGACGTAACAACAACAACTGGTAGTGTGAGGGGAGAGGGGGTGATGGTGGGTATCTTGAATGGGGGAGGGGCTGGGTCAGGGAAGGCCTCTCTGAGGAGATGGCCCTGGAACAGAGATCTGACTAAAGGGCTGGGCATTTATAATTAGTACATGGGAGTCCTGGTGTGGTGCTGTGGGCTAAAGCTTCAGACTGCAAAATCATTTGAACTGCAAGGTTGGTGGTTCAAGCTCACCAGGTGCTCCTTGGAAACCCTATACAGGGTCACTATGGGTCGGAATTGACTCGACGGCACTTAACAACAACAACAAACATGGGAGTAAGAAGGACCATAAACTAGGGACAGAAGAAAGGCCTGGTGATTTACTTCCAAATTTTAGCCAAGGAAAGACTGTGGATCAAAAATATCTGACCCACAACTGATTACAGGGATGGTGCAGGAGAGCACAACATTTAGTTCTGTTACATGGGTCTCCTTGAGTTCAGGGTTGACTTGATGGAAGCTAACAATTCTGAGGATGGGGGTTCAGAGAAACCCCAGAAACACAGATGGAATGCCCCTCACACTCTGTTCTTAGTCTGTCCTGGCTCCAACTCGATCCCAATAACTGCTTGAGGCTCTCCTCTCCCAGACACCTACACAAGCCAGAGGTCTCCACTTCAGCCTTTATCCATCCATCTTGTTCCCTCCCCCTAGAACCTTCTCCCTGCTCCTCCTAGACCTTCCCGAGTCCTCAGCCTCTCCTTCCAGCAGCATTTAAGTCTTCAGATTCAATTTCACACTCATTAATTAAGAGAATCACTCTGCTATTATTATGATGATGTTCCCTTCATTTTTTTTTTTTTTTTACAATCATGACAAATACGTGTTCTCAGACCATTCCTGTGAGACAGGCAGGGAGATCATTTCTATTTTCATTTTACAAATGGAGAAACTGAGGCTTAGTGAGGTGGTAACTGGAAAGGTGGGTGCTGGACCCACATCTACTACAATTGTCACACATGATCTTGCACGATTCACTAATACACGTACGTCAGAGTTGCCAGCTCCTCAGGACAGGGTCAGTATACTCATAAATGCCCATGGCACGATCCCAGGAGCACTGCCTGTGGTAGTCTGATCCACCCAGGGCAGACTGCCTGCTCCACTTGATCCCTTCTTGCCCTGGGAAGGTGGGTCTCTTCCCTTCTCTCTTGTGACCCCTCAGTGCTCAGGGGCCTCCACTCACTTCTCCAGCATGGACATGACGATTGGAGGTAGCACCAGGATGGGCATGGGAAGAACCACTCGAGTCAGCGCCGTCTCTAGCAGGGCCTGCGGAGCAAGCAGAAGCTGCAATGAGAGGGGTCTGGGACAGGGGACAGTCACTGCTAAGCATGTTTGGCAGACTGGAATTAGTCATGGAATTGTTCATCAAGTCTTACTCCAAACAATAGAAAAGAGCCACCCCTGGCCTCTTAAAACACATTTCAAAAGAACAGATCCTATCACCTGCCACAGAGAGGAAAGAGGGGTGGGCAGCTCAGAGACTGCCCCAGAAAGGGGGCTGCACTTGGGTGGGGTCCCAGGTGGTGGGTGCAGCAGGCTGGGGGAAGCATCTGGAAGACTTGAGATGCTCTAAAAACAAAGCAGACACTGGAAGGACCAGAACAACTCAGCTAGGCCTGCCGAGTTAAGTGAGGCTCATGGTGCTGAGTGACGACAGTGCTTGGTGGATTCCCTTTCTTTTTGACACCCCTTAAAGATTAAGATGCTGCAGAGCATCAGGCTTTTGGTTCAGGCGTGAGTCTTTCTCAGTGACAAAAGGTTGGTCTTTGAGGGGAAATGCTTCTGCTAAGTGAATGGTGTGTCTCTAACCTCGGTCTGCCTGGGGCCTTCCTCTGGGCATGCTCTCTACTCAGCTGTTCTGCACTCTGATGGTCACTGCTGGGAGTTCTCTTAACCCCATGGGCCCCAGGCCCTAATAAAAGGCTTCAGGAATGACTCAGAGCCCACTGTCCCTGGGATCTTCTGCCACACAGACAGGGATGGAGTGAGCAGGGCAGAGGAAGCCCAGGGGCTGCAGAAGAGTGGGCCTCTCTGCTCTTAGCACCAGGAGGAGTCGGAGTCGTGGTCTGTGGTCTGCTTCCCTCACAGCGGCAGGTAGAAGAGTGAAGCGCTTTAGCTCTTTGTGTAGGAGGATGGGGGCTCCAGGATGAGAAATCTCCCAGGTGCCTGTGTCCTTTCTGACCAGCATCAGAAGGTCTGAGAGAGGGTCCCTGCAGCCTCTTAGGTAGGGTGGGTGTGACATGGTGGGAGGGCTAGAGTCAGGACAGCAAGCGGAGATGCAACGTTGGCACCTGCACACCCAAGCCTCTTACCCGCCACCAGCCTTGGGTGGGCACCCACTTCCCCTCACAAAGGTGGGGCAGGGAGATTGGGGAGCAAGCTAGGGTCCCCAGATAGGTTCATTGTGAAAGCCTTGTGGACGAGATGACCAAGGACAAGATGACAGGAGCAGAGCTAGTTGTCCCCGCTACTCCACAGCTGATCTTGCAGGCCCAGCACTAGAGGACAGAGCCCTGGGGCAGAAGGCCAGTCTCTAATCATTACAATGAAGGCTGAGGAGGTACAGCTGTAGGTAAGTAAGGACTGGGATTCTTTTTTTGCTGTTAATTACAATTGCTAGAGCTGGCAAGGCCAGTGACACCAAAGGTGAAAGAGGGCTTTCATGTAACAAAAACCAGCCCTAGGGCTCCCACAAGTCTGAAGTCCTCCCCCACAGTCTTTCCCTGGTGGGGTGTCATCTCCACAAGTGCCTGCTAGTTCAGAACCACAAACCGCTGTCCTCCAGACCTCTTCCTCTGACCACAGAGGGCCAGAGGGGCAGGGCCCTAGTCCAGAGGAAGGGAAAGAAAACCCTCTAGGGAGCCTCCTCTGTCCTTGCCAATTAGCACCTCATCTGGGTTAGGTGATCTGGGAGGCTAGTTCTATGGGGTTGGGACCAGGGGTGGAGCGTTTGGGGGAGAGGCTGCAGAGCGGCTGGTAGAGAAGGGATTAGCAGGGAAGTAGGTGGGGTTGCACTAGGAGGTAAGGCTGGGGCTGTCCGATGGGAGGTAGTGGGGTAAGGATGGGATATCAAGAGGGCAAAACAAGGGTACTATGAAACACTTGCTGGCCTCCCCACCAGCCCCTGGACCACTGGGCACACCCACGTGTCTGGCTGCGATTCTGGAGGAACCCACGAGGTTGCCATCACCATCCAGGACATCAATCCCTTCCTCCAGCTCCCCGTACCGCATCAGGACCACGTTGCAGATATTGGCACTGGCTGGAGAGAGAAGGAGCAGGGGCAGGGGTGAGGGTGAGTATGGCATCCCATCAGGGAGATGAGACCCTGGGGGTATCTCTCCTTCTCCCCAAGCCTTCCTGCCCCAAGTCACAAGGACTCAAAGGCAGTTGGCAGAGGTGAGGCTCTGCTGTCCATGTGCCCCTCATCTTGCTGTCCCTTGGCCAACTGGTAAACAAAGGTGGAAGTTAACTAGTGTGAGGGAGGAGGGGAAGCTGCTCCAGGCTGAGGGAGTGACTAGTTACCAAGGCTGCAGCTTTCCTCCCCTCTGGTGCCGGCCTGCAATGCAAGTGGGGTGGAGATCCATCTGGGAGGGCTCTCTGGCTGAACAGCCTCCCGCTACACAGTGCGCCTGATGTTCCACCTTCTGCAATTTAGACCCTTGGGCTGCCTTTCTCAGCATCCTGTGAAAATGCCAGTCCCCAACATTCAGCCCCTGGCTGCTCAGGGTGAATTCAGTTCCCAGAGATGAGTTTCCCTGACAGCAGGCGCCAGAGCAGGCAGGAACCTCAGTTCTCAACCAGCACCGCCCCCTTATCGTATGGATGGAAAATTGAGGCTCAGAGAGGGGGAGTAACTTATCTGAGGTCACAAAGCCAAGTAGGGCAGAGTTGAAAGACTATATAGTGCCTAACCCTCTGGTTGCCCAGAAGAGGGGAGGATTGCAGTGTGTTGGGAAGGGAGACTTAGGTAGTTAAAGGCAGACCTTCTACCTTCTTGCCTCAGATGGCTGGGTCCCTTTCTTTGGCCATGATCCTCACCTCATGGGGACCTAGACTGAGGGGAGGTTCCTGGTTCCTATAACTGGATGTTAGAGATTTGGGGGTATCCCACTTTCAGTGACTAGCACTGAAAATATCTTCCTGCTCCCCTCCACTAGAACTTTGTGGGAGCAGGTGTGTGTCCAGGGGAGTATGGCATCTACCTGGGACAGGAGGACACACGGTCCCTCTGGCCAGGCCTAGGCATGGGACCAGGTGCAGTGCTGACCTCATTTGAGCTAATCCAGCCTTGCCTCAGGATGGGAGTGGGGGACTTGGGGGTGGTGGACGGCTGGGAAGTGGAGGTGACACATGCGAAGCCCGCCTGCTTCACTCCTCCCCCAAAAGCGCCTTGCTGTGTTTAAAGTTTTAATTTTTGCTAATTAATGTCAATTAATTTTGTATAATGAGTGTTTAATTTTGGGGAGTGTGTGAGTCTGGGAGCAACTGCAGTTCTGGGCTGTGAACGCTGATTAGCATCAACACCTGCTGCTTCCCCACTCCCTCCAAAGTGGGGGGGCACAAGGGTTTGGGGAGCTGGAGGGTGGCGGGGCCTAGTGGGCAGGTGGAGTGGGAAGGAGACCACAGATGCTCTTGCAGCCTGAGCCAAGGGTGCTTACAGCTGGGGGCAGGTTCTGCAGGTAAGGGGTGACCTGAGACTCTGGGGTCTCTTAGCCTCATCTCCTGTTTCAATAAAGTGGGGAGGTGAAGTAAACAGAGGGGCTGACCAAGAGCTCTGCATTTTTTTTGAAGAAAAAAAGCAGGAGACCAAATAGTTTTAAAACGTATTTACAGCACATATGCCATCTTTGAGACTCTCTCGTGTTCCCACACGACACTCAGCGGCAATGGTAACCACATACAGATCTTTTTCTGAGACTGGAATTCAAGTCCTGAGTCCCTCCTCTTCCTGAAACAGGCACACTCACTTGTCTCAAGCAGTGACTGCCAACTGGGGGCAATTCCTCTCCCCTCAGGGGGTTTTTGGCAATTGTTGGGGCCAGTATTTGATCATGACCTGGTGAGGGGGGAAACAGGGTGCTTCTGGCAGCTAACAGGTAGTGATCCTGATAAACATCCTACAATGCACAGGACAATCCCATACAACAGAGACTTTTCTAGCTCCAAATGTCAATAGTACTGAGACTGAGAAAGCCTGTCTTAATCACGGCCAGAGGCTGACAGTTAATGTGAATGAGCAGTAAAGGAATTTGGAGCAGCAGCATGTCTGAAGGGGAGGCTGAGAGCCTGGGTTTGGGTTTCAATGTAGGCTCTGCATCTCCCCTGCTCCAGAGGTGAGCTCCAGCCAGTGCTAGGGGCCCCCCAGGACTCAGTGCCCAAAAGGGCCCCAGAGGGCAATGGTGGGAAGCCCATACCTGCCTCTCTGTTAGTGATCGCCCTCTAGTGGCATTAGGAATGATCTGCACCCCCACAGCCCTGAGCAGCACAGCCTTCAGTAGCTCAGGATATTTGGATTTTCTGCCCTGCAATGCAGCAGTCGTTGTCTTCAGAGGATCCCTTCCACCACCACACCACCAGTACCATCCCAGTATAGTTAAGGATACAGGAATGCTGAGGATACAGAATGTGGTCCAGGGCACTTAAGCTCCAGTATCAGCTCCCAGCCTCCCACCCCCACCCCATACTTGGCAGAGTGTACTTAAGAGTCTTCATGGGGTTTCTGGGTGCTGGTTGAACTCACACGAAGTCAGCCTGTGCACCCACACCCGTCAGGTGAGCAAAAGTCAAGGATGACTGGAATGTATCTAGTCCCAATTATGTGTGTGTGTATGTGTTGGGGGGTATTTTCAGAGAATAAACTAAGTTTCAGGGGGCAAACGCTTGGGGGAGATGTACCCACAATGCTAAACTTTGTCTTGGATGACATCCTGAAGACAGCCCAAAGTATGTGTGTGTGTGGTATGTGTGTTGGGTTGGGAAGGAGGGACACACAGACAAAGAGAAGAGTGGTAATTTTGGAGTGGAGGTCCTGCCTTGTGGTGGCTGGCATCTTGCTTATTCTCCCAAATTTCCAAATATAGAATGTAGGGAGAGCAGGACTTTGGTTCAAACACAAAACCACTTGAGATAAAAGCTGAAGTAAGAAAGGACATGAAAGTGCAGCTGCCTTCCCCCTACATAGTCACCCCTGGACACTTCTCAGGTGACAAAGTAAGTCCTCCCCTCAGCTTAGACGCCTGGCTAGAAAAAAGGCAGAGAACATCCTACAAACCTCCTCAGAATGGTGCCAACCTAGGCGCTTCCTGTGGAACACCCATACTCTCTCTCAGTGCTTTTACTATATTTGGATGGCACGTGCCCTCCAGCCACTCTTGTGGACTGTGGCCATCTATGAAATATCTGCTGACTATGCAGGCACTAGGCAGCCCTACCTTTGAGCAATGAGATCACCAGTTTTTCACAGAGATTTAATTTCCAGGATCTCATGTAGACCTAACACTTCTGCCCTGTCCTTCTCAAACCCTCCCTGGTCCTTTCCATTCCACTCCTGGCAAGTCCAGTTCCCAAGACACAGCCACTGAGAACCTAAACAAATCAGAGAGGGAGAGACCAACCCTGGGTCTCCTTCCTAACACACCAGCAAGAACTATTATTGATGGTATCAGCAGGTTAATTAAGCAGTCTGTTAATGATAATGTTAAGAAAGCTGGCACATTTTCAATTCAGATTGACACCATTCAAGACTGAGGCATAACTGACGTGGAAGCACTGATGTTGGGAGATGTCATGGAATGAGAGAGAGAGATTGCTTCACGCCGATGGCAAGCTTAGTGTCAAGTCCTGAAGAAAATATAAAATATGCTCAAGTGCTGCAGATGTTCTCACATCAGACCCATCGTGATGCAAAACCCTGCAGATTGTGAACAGCTAATGATGCACCCAGTTTACAGGGACAGAGTGGGGAGGAAGAAAGAGCAGTAGATGCAAAGACAAACATGGCAAACAAGTTCTCAAAAAGAAGACTTGGGGGGAGCTTGCCCCTGAACTAGCAGCACAGGAAGATACAAGTAGAGCCATGGCATGTAATAGAGGCTAGCAATAAAGCAGTTGTATTAAGTCTCTGAGAAAGGACTCTTCAAAAACGGTTGGTTGGTAGGTGCCTTTGAGTTGATTTCAACTCATAATGACCTCAGATTACAGAGTAGGCATAAACATAGGTATGATTGTGAGGTTGGCACAGGCCTGGGCAATGTTTCATTCTGTTGTACATAGGATCGCTATACGTTGGAGATGACTCACTCCTAACAACAAAATTTTTATAGGTGCAAATAGCCGGGTCTTTCTCTCATGGAATTTCTGGGTGGGTTTAAATAGCCAGTCTTTCAGTGAGCAGCTGAGCACTTAACAATTGAGCCAACAGGCTCCTTATTCAAAACATGGGGGAGAGCAATAAGCTATTTATTTGGAGACAATAAAATACCATAAATCTTCAGTTCTAAGAGGCATTTCCCCCATATTATGATGCTTTATGAATAATAATGGGCTGTATCATGGATGTAGTGGGAGGAGGCAGGTACTGACACCTCACCTGCCACCAAATAATTTCCTGTGCATGAGTGAATTTAGCCCTGGGCAAAAGTGTCTATTTATCCAAGTGTCACCTCAGCTAACCACAACAACCCACATAAGTTTAAGAACTTAAACTTAGATTCCTAATTGTTGCTTAAGACATCTTTCTGAAACTTACACGATAATGGAGCATGGACATGGAAAGTTATTGTACATGCAGAAGATTGTCTGCCAGATACCAGGCAGTGCAATTAAAGGCAGTAGAAATTGCCAAACCATAGATAGCTACCCTAAAGAAATGCTTGCCCATATGCACAAAGAGACATTTACAAGGATGTTAATTATAGCACTGTTTGTAAGAGCAAATAATTAGAAACAACCTAAATGTCCACCATTAGGGAACTTACATGGGAAGATTTCCAAAACAGAGTGCTATGTGATAAAAAAGCCACTGAGAAAGTGCAGGATAATTAAATGTATGTAAAAGCCAGCAATGGCATGCATATACAGGTGTGCCTATGCATCCATAGGTAATGTTTTGGAAGGGTCAACCTCACACAGTGGCCCTGCTGTGGAATGCAGCCAGATTTGGGAATTAGGGGGCATTGAAAAGGACTTTCACTTTTTCACTCTACATTTTTCGATATTGTTTGACTGTTTACAATGAAAGTGTGATCTTACTTAACTTGT